TTCCTGCTGTAATTGGACCTAACCTTTACAAGACTTTTTTTTTACTTCAGTAAATTCAAACACATAGCAGTTTGTTATATCCTATTATTGGCAAAGCTCAACCAATTAAGCCCTCTCTCCTAAAAGAAAAGCCATAGACCAACTGTAATAAAAGTTTGTCTCACTAAAAATGAAAGACTTGATTCAAGGTATCTTGATGATGAAAATATAATAATAGTTTTCTTTTGAAGGCTTAATGGTCATGCTAAAGGTTAGCAGAAGCCCCACTCTCCATACACTTGTGAATTTGTTAACTACTGTGTCATTTTGATTTCAGAAGAATTTTTCACAGTATTCAAATTAAGCATGTGTTTAGGTGTGTGCAGGACTGGGGCCAAAAAACTCTTTGCTAGCCCCAGACTCTAATACTAATTAACTCCTGAAACTAGGACTAGATTACTCTTAAAATTCATCATCTACCTGTAGACAGTCTTACTGCCCCTTTTCTGTACATTCTTAATGCTGTGTCTATCAATATATTGATTTAGGAATTTTTAAAAAATCATGCCTCCTATCCCGACAGTCAAATACTACTTTTTCCAACACGCATATTTAAGGAAGCATTAGAATTGCACAGCTTTCCTTACTGTTTTAATTTTCAACCTTTTACTAATCCACTCCAAGCAGAGCATAATCTATCACTTCTTTGAGTGTAATCTACAAGACAGGGATTTAGATGGCAGTGTATCTTTAAGTGTCTCCACCTCTCAATCCACCCACTTCCTTGATAGCTGCAGCAGTCTTGTTGACTCACATAAATACCATGTGCATACAGTAGCCAGCAGGAACAGTGCATTTTGGAGTTCTTAAAAGCAAAGTAGTACCATGTATTTGACTTCCTAACTCACTAGGGCTGAAGGTGTATAAAGGTAACAGTTTTTTTTAGTTTCTAAGATCTTGCAGAAAGATAGTCCCTCCTTTCCTGGAAAAGCCAGACTAACCAGTTAGATACCTTTCTGGCTTTAACACCTGAGACTTCTCATCCCACTGCCTTTTTAAAGTAGAAAGACCTCAGGCATTTACGAACTGAAGATCATACTAAGCAAATGGCTAATCCCAAAGCTGTCTGCAATGGACATTACCATCAGAAACAGAATAACCTCTTAAAAAGTGGAATCTATAAGAAAAATGGAATTGCTAAACAAATTAAGGTAAGGTTTAATTTCCTGAAGTCTGCCAATCATTGAGATGAACAGTTTTAAACTTATTTAAAGGAATGGATTGTCACTGAATGGATATTACAGTATTGGCTTTATGTTAAGCTTGAAACGTGCAGCATGAGCCTGTATTCTTATTAACCCTTAAAGTTCTGGTTGAAGTAAAAAAGATATTTGGGTGCGTAGGCAATAGCATTGATCTAACTAGATTCTGTTCTTCAGATCAGAAATAGAAATATCTCATTTACCTGAAAATTGTTTAAAGCCTTTCTGTTGGTAGAACTGTAGAAATGTATCAATAACTTAAAGCAAAAGGGTTTTATCCTTGAAGTGTATGTGGAGTTTTATTTTATTATGATGTGTTACTGTTTAAGTGCAATGTAAGAAAAAACAAGAAATAGGAAAGAGATGCTTTTTTTTACCTGATGATTATATTGTTGTAAGGTTGGCATAGTGTCTAGTTTACTGGGGCATGCTCTATAGGCTTAAGAATCTGTCCTTTTTATTTACATGTTGTTACAGTGTTAGCTGCTCTTTAAAAAATAAGTTAGTCTACAGGAAATTCTCTCAAGCTGTTTCTTTTTTTTCCTGCATCTTTGAAAGCCATCTCTCATTGACCTGAATGCCTGACTATAGCTCATTTGATGTTTGTAGTTTCCCAAAAGAGAACCCCAAAACTAGAGAGGCTCTTTTGCAAAAGAGGTCCTATGCATAGAACATTAAAAGCTGTCTCTATGGAAGAGCCCATTACTATTGGAAAAATCTTTTGGCTCTTCAAATCCAAGCTGTGCTGGCTTTGAGAATGCATATGAATTGATGTAACCAACACCTCAATTGGGAACAGGAAAAGATTGCCTTTAAAGCTGGATGCTTCACGCCTCAACCACAACATCTACCAACACTGGCTTGTGTTTGAATGCTTATCTGACAGTTTATTAACTTCAATTGTCTAGTCCTAAAACTTTAGACAGTGCCTATGCCTGTTCCAGTTGCCAGCCTCAGATGCATCACAAATAAGCTCTCATCTTGAGTCTTTTTTCCTAATGGGAATCTCATGCTTTCAGCCTGTTAATTAAGGCACACCCAATGCAAAGGTTAGTTAGTGATTGTCTGGCTTCAGGACTCTAGCATGGGTGGCTCCTAGTTGCTGGCCCAGCCCGTGTGTGGAAAGATGATGGCAAGAAAGCTTGTGCAATGAAGGAAAAGTCATATCTTGCTCCCAGGAACCATATCTGAAATCACAGTCATCACTTTGGATATTAAAAGTCATGCTGTTTATCCTGAAATGTATACTTTTAGCACCGATCACCAATATTCCGGTTTCTATTTTATCAACCTGAAATAGTTAACCTGCTGGGAAAAGAATGAAAACTTGTGACAGTAGTAATTTCAGAGGAGAGAAAAAGATTATACAGTAATAACAATGTATTTATTATTATTGCTGCTGCTGTTGCTACTATTAGGATTGTAGCTAGAAAAATAGAGAAATGTGTATTTGACAGTAAACAATAAAAAAAAAATATAGGCTGGTGCTGGAGGGGGTGGGAATGGCCTGGAGGGGATAGTTAACTGATCCATCCACAAATCGTTGTGGAATAAAAGGAGACTTTATTTTTCTTTTGTGGTACAGACACATTATATTACAGAACACTTAGATCTTGTAACACTCAGAGATAGGAAAGCATCATCCCCAGTGTAAACTGGAAATGAATGGTTGAATTTTTTATTCCGAGGTCATCATTGAACTTGTAAGCGTGCAGGTCTCCTGATTCTCAGTCTGGTGCTCTATTCACAATCCCAATCTCCTTCCTTCACTTCTTGCTTGAAGCACAGGTTGGAAGGGAAAGGAACAAAACAGGTGAGAGCTCATTCTTGTTCCTGCTAGGAATCTGCCCTTTCCTGTCTGGTCTGCCTCTTCACTCTCACCTACCCCAACCCAATACATGATTTGTTATTTTTGTTCTATCCCTTTTTCCAGATATTTGTCCTCCACACATGGAGTGGCTTCCACTCTGGCTTTATCTGCCCATCTATCTATAATATTTACATTACCACATCAGTATATTAATTGAGCACCTCACAGATTTCAGTGTATTGACCCAAGCAAATATCTTCCTTAAATGGAAAAACACTTTAAATGGAGGGGGAATTAACAGACAGAGAGGAGGGTAGAGCAGAAACTGAACCTGGTTTTCTCAGGACCCACACAAAACACCCACACTCCTCTGCTTGACTATTCATGAATGAATAGTGGGTGTGGGAATGCTCAGGTTACCTACTACTTTTCTGTAGTACAGAGCTTCTGTTACTGTAGCTAATCAACAGAACCCCACCACCAAGATGTAGCATATGCTGACAAAAAGGAACTTTCAGCTGATTTAGCTACACTGCCTCCAAAAAAGCCCTTCTCTATCTGCAGAACTGTATCTATGGTGGGGGTTTAGACACCCTAGTGTGGTTCTGTTCCACCCTACTTGAGTCCCTGAACAACAATAAATGCAAAAGGTAAATGGGTTCTCGCTGCTTTTTTTGTGACCCAGGGCCACGTCTTGCCTGTGCCACAAGGAAGAGGCAAAAGTTACAGCTGCAACCGAAAAGCATGCAAAGGTGACTCCAACTCCACTGTAGTGGGGCAGCTCTCTCCTTGCTGCCTCTGACTTCCCATGCCATGGCTGCTCCAGCTCCTATGCCAGAGCTGGAGCTGCCATCGCCACATGCCCATTCCACAGTGGCTCCTCCAGCTCCAGCATGGGATACATGGTGGGGACCATTGGCAGAAGAGGTAGGGCTGCAGCAGTGGCAAAGCTCTCACTTGCCCTCCTACTTCCAGTTGTCATGTCCACCAGGGCCCAAGGCCTCTGGATTCAGCAACAGGCCATGCCCCAAGAACATGTCCCCACCCAACATGCAATGGCCTAATGGTAGCCTGGTGGGCCAAACAAAGTGGCTCTGCAGGCTGTAAGTTTGACATCTGTGCATTAATGGATTTGTTGGGGCTCAAATTGGGCAAAATAGAATCACATTTACATGCCCAATAGGTAGAATAGAATCTGTCCCCATAGTGGCCATTTCTGTAGATTCTGGATTCATTTTAGTAGCCTCAATTTTAGGACTTTCCCTATGAGAACCTGAGCCTTAGCACAAGCTAGGAGACACCTTGAAAGGTGACATACAAACTACAGTGGGTTTATGGAATGGTGAAAGCAGCTCCCCATGCCACCAAGAAAAGGACAGTGTAACAATAATTGCACCTAAGTGAGTAATGAGACAGTACAGAGTTCATTACAGAGACTTTGCATAGCTCTGCCTCACAAACGTCTTGTACTGAGAAACTGGCAGGAAGTATGACCCTACTGATGTAAGAGCACATAGGTGTGTATGTGGCTTTCATGGTCCTGTGAAAAACAGAAACCTGTTTTCTGACTAAAAGGTGTATTTTTATAAGTGACCACAAGGAAGGCAGGGGACATTTGCATTCTCTACCCTGTTCTATCCAGAGCAGTTGTGATGAGTACATCTAATATCTGTATGCAGTTTTCTGTTCATAGTTAAGGTCTGCACTGATGACCAAGCGGCTATTGCAAGAAATGTTCATTTAATCTGTCTATTGTTAAATACTAAATATGTCTCTGCAATGGGAATTTCCTATTCCTCCACTACATGGGCAACCCTCTTTTATTTTCCTTAGTAAGCTCTTCCCTTGGAATTCAACACCTCAAGGAGCATGGGCATCTTCACCTTAAAGAAAAGGGTTGCTGTATATTATTGGGACATTAAAATGGTCCAAAAATGCCACCACTGATTGTCTTCCCCACATCACATGGAGAGCAACTGTAACTTATTGAGGAGCTTGCAGTGGGAGCATTAAGGATGCTTCCAAACTTCACAGCTCCTCCCACAAAACAGGGTCTGGGTGAGTAATTGGTACCTTCTAAACCATGCCCTAGATCAGTTAGGACCCACCAAGGCTACAGACCTAGGTTATGTCTATACTATGGGGGGATGGTATCATTCTCCCTCTGCTCCCCGCTTCCCCTGGTATGGAGTCCCCTTTGCTGAAGGGTGAAGCTTTTCTGTTACACCAGCTTCCCCAAACAGCAGAAGCTCTGATCTCAAAAGCTGTCTTCTGCCACCACAACTTTGCCCACACTGGAGGTTTTGTTGGTAGAACTGCATTGGCCACAGCGTGACCCTCCTAGCTGATATAGCTCTGCTTGCAAACTTTGCCTATAATCAGTCCCCCTGCCCTCTCCTCTGTGAACCTGGGAGGAGTCTTCACAGCCTGCCTTCAATGACTCTAAAACTTGGAGGCAAGGATTTCTTAGGGTGACATCTTGTATTAGACCAACTGCATATTTGGGATAGCATTAGACAACCTTCTGTATGCCAGGTCACTTTATCTAAAACTTGGAAGCCATTTACTTATTTCCCCGCATTGTCATTAGTTGCTGATCTCTTGTCATTGTTCACCTGAGCAATCCTTCAGCAGTCCAGTCTCACGCCTCTATATGCTTCTAACCAATCTTCTCTCAATTGTCCTTTTCTACCACAGTTCCCCTTCCCTTATTTCTACATAGGATATCATTTCCTTCCCCTCAGCTGCCTCCCAAACAAACCTCAAAACTGAGACTTCACAATGTGTATATAAAATCCATAAACAAATATTGAGAGAGAGATGAAATTAGTGTAGCATGCTATCACCATTATTTATCACAGTTTATTCTTCTGCTTATATGATATATTTTATTCCACCTACACTTTTCTTTCTTCAGTCCTTGCCTATTATTTCCCTGTGATTTTTCCAGCACTTAGTATAATTGGGACCCCAGTCCCAATGGAGCATTTGGATGCAAACACAACTTAAATAGTAAGGAGGTAGGTAGACAGTGGAAATAGTATGTAGCCATGGAATTAATAACAGTAACTTTCATATACACAAGGGAGCCGCATTTACATGGAATGGGCAACATTAAGCAGTGCCTAATTTTTGTGTG